GGGGCGGGTAACGCGGTCGGTAGTAACGTCATTGGTTGCACTTGAAGTGAGTAGTTATGCAATCCGACAGTAAACGGCTCATTAATAGGAATATTCTCAAAGTTGTGGTCTCGGCTGGTCTCGAAATAAAATCCCGAATCCATGACAAGAACCAGTACAAATACGGCTGATTCAAAGACAAGATCGAGACCTTCAAAAACTGGTCCTGAGTATGACAACATTTGATATTAATATAAATTTCTATCATGAAGAAATGAAGCAGAAGGTGAGTAAACGCTGTTTTGTAAATTTAAAAGGTGCGTAAATGGCGTTTATGTGCATTTACCCTCCAATATACAGTACCACTGAACGAAGGATTGTGTTAATTATATAATCTGAATAATTGCATAAAATAATCCAAAAATTCCACAACATCACATAATATATCAGTGTCTCTCTGACCTAATGTCAGCTAATTACCGTCAAATACTACCGTTTCTGGCAGAATTAAAACAAGACTCTGCTGTGCCCACCCCCGCCATTTTTCAAACGTTTTTTTCGAGTTCTTCCAGAATTCTTCACGTACAGTAAGCTACTCAAGGCACGCCATTGGGTCCCGTCTCCTTTTTCTTTTATGGTGGTCAGCCATACTGCCACCGCGGCTTTGGTTAGCTTACTGCTCCCAAATTAGGGGGTAGCCACTGTACTTTATGTGTATAATAACATAGACCCAACTAATCGATTATTAAATTAGTTGGCAACTACTTTAATAGTCGATTTTAATCGATTAGTTGTTGCAGCCCTACAGGCAAACTGTGCGGATGGCTTGACCGCAGTCTCATCCTCTGCATAGAGTAAAGCTTGATCAAATCATGTAAACGAATCAACATGACGAATCAACATGACCTAACATACCCATTAGGTCATCTGATTCTCATTTTAATCAGATAAATCAGCATTACATTGCAATGCAAGCCTTTCTCATTTTAACCAGATAATTTCACATCTCATATCTTGTTATAATGAGGTAATTTATGTATCGTTGTAATGAGAAACATATTTCATTATAATGAGAGCCCTTTGAGAACCCTTTGCTGGAGAAAGACTTCCTTTGATTAGTGACCGGTATATCTAGATGCATGTGATTAGTTCTAGATATAATTTTTCCATTTCTAGTTATTATTACCATTGTTTTTATTTATGACTTAATGAATACTTTTTTTTGTGATACTTTGTAGACCTCTTAAACCCATGCCCCATTATCATAAGACCAGTGGAATGTTTTTGAAGATGAAAGACACAGAGCATCAATGCTGCTGTAACAAACTCACCATCTCTTGGGCTACACCCTCTGGGACTTCCTTCTCCAGGTCGAACGTGAACTCAATGGCTCCACTCTCCCTATACTTGCCCTTCAGCTTTCTCGGATCCTCAATCCAAAGCTTCAAAGCAATGGACGACTTCTTGCCGTCGTCCTCCTCGGCCAGCTCTACCCTCAGCCCTGTGTCTTCCGCAAAGAAGGCATGGCTCAGAAGGTCCTTGATGGAGAACCTACAGTGGCCATTAAAGATTTAATCATTACAACAAAGACCTGCATTAAAAGAAAAACCAGCAGTTTCATTAAGATGTTTTTTAAAAAGGGCTTCATATGGAAATAAACTTTATAATAACTCCTGACCTCTTGTCCTTGTGATGGCAGATACATTCCCCGATTATCTCCTTGATCTCAGGGTCAGTGACCTTGTCATAACTGGCAGGCTTGACCCCCTGGAGGAACATCACAAATGCACAAAGATCACAAAAATGATAGGAAAGCAATTGGTGGGGTGTCCAGCCACCTTATATGTGGTACGAATGTGTAATAATAATGGAATAATAATAATAATAATAATAATAATAATAAAACACAGGCTTTAGAATGTCTTCAACTGCTCATTAGTATGAAGTGAGATGACAGTGGCTTCGAAAAACAGAATCAGAGTAGCAACCACGGATGTCTTTATCCACTTTTTTGGTAGCTAGATCCAATCCGATGCATTCAAATATATCTTCCGATTCTGAAACCTGATCCGATCATTTAATAAATATTTAAATATACATGCATGTGCAGTAGGCATCAGAGCATTCATAAGAAAACCTTATAAGTATTATTCCTTATGATGTTTCGGGAAGTGCTTAATTAGATTTGTTGTTTTAAATGACACTCTGTTGCTACCTCCTCTCAAAGGGTTAGCATTCCAAACACTGCAGGTAGCTTTTGGGCCAATCGGAGTTTCCAATTTATAGAATTTGTACATGACAGTCATCTCGATAGTTAGTCATATCAGGCCATGTGCTTCCTGCAGCATGTGACAGAACCTTACAATCTGTGCGACTGACATAAATTAGGCATACGCAAAAAATCAAAGGGATCAGCCTTCAAATTGAGCTGAGGTAGCCAATACCAAGAAGTTAAAAAATTCCTCGATTGGCCCAGATTCTGATCTTCGATATCAGGTCAGGACTGGCAGCAACTTCATTGCAATTACTATTCTAAGTCTAAGAAAGGAAACAGACCTAAATTAATAATCCATTAATATATTAGAAAACACCACTGTAAGTCAGACAAAATGAGACCAAAAACTATCCTTCTGTCCTTAAACAAATGTCTTATTCAGTGAACTAATCAATATAACAATCACATATATGCTGTATACACTCAGTGGCCACCTGCGTAATAGTAAAAGTCCCCTTTTTGTCTCCCAAACCAATTCAGGTGTTAATAATTTATGTGTTAGGAGAGGCCTTTATGCACACTACTGTTGAACTAAGTTGTTATTCTTGCATTTCAAAGCCTTGGTATTAACTTCAACAAGCCTGGTTATTCTCCCCTGACCTCTCTAACAAGGTGTTTTTCTCCAAAGAACTTACTCTGACTTGATGCTTTTTGTTCATTGTACAATTCTCTATGAGCTCTAAACAGTGTGCTGCGTGAAAATCTCAAAAGGGTGGCTGTTTCTGAGATTCTGAAACCACCACATCTGGGACTAAACATTACATTGCATTTGAAACTGCTTAGATCAGGTGTTTTAGCTGTTCTACTGCTTAGTCACACAGCAGGTGAACCGCCTGACCCTGTCTCTTGGCTGTATGGATTCAGTCTGTAGGAGCAGGCTGTTTGATGAAAAAACCAATGTCCCTAAAAAACTGAAAATACTTTCATGTAATCAGAGATCCACGCTGACCTACAGATGCAAGTGAAACGCAGATGCGACTAGGGGCATGCAGGCTAATGTAGATAAATCACACACTGATGCCTAGTTCTTGTAAGGCACAAGCACAGCTCTACTCACACTGGTGACCTTGCGGTATATCTGCGCTGCATTCTGGCACTCAGCATAAGGGTACTCCGAGGTGGCCATCTCCAGCATGCACATGCCGAAGGCGTAGACATCTACAGCCTCGTCATAGTGCTCTTCATACATTTCTGGGGCCATGAACTCCGGGGTTCCTGGGAAGTGCATGATAAAAGCAGGGCCCCCCCTTCAAGAAACTGCTTCCAACAATTATTCATAAATAATAAGTCAATACTTTTGTCCAAAGCAATTTATAAGTAAGGATGAGAGAGCAGCAAGTCCCTAGACCAACTGAGTATAAAGGCCCTGCTCAAGGGCCCAACAGTGACATCACTCTGCCAGTCAGGGGATTTGAATTGGCAATCTTCTGATTCAGACGCACAACCCAGAGCCACATGCCACCAACACAGTGGTTTAACTCTTGGAAATTAAAATGATTAATGTGCTTTCTGTCATTTCAAATATGATATTACTTTCAGTATCTCTAAATGAATCTCATAGACAATTTTTACAGCTTATTGATTTCTAGAAAGTTCCAAACCATTGTCCAAGCCACAGTACATATGGCCTGATATTGCCAGAAAATTTGATCTGTGATAAATGCCATAAAAAGAACAGGATTGAAAATAAAATTATAATTCCAACAGCTTGCCTATGACACTCGTCGCAAATGAGGCTCTCTTGAGTGTCGCCAGACCCAAGTCTCCGATCTTGACGGAGCCCGTGGGGCCCGTGATGAAGATGTTATCACACTTGAGGTCACGGTGGATGATGGGCGGGGTCCGGGTGTGTAGGAAATGCAGGCCCTTCAGAATCTGTCTGCACCAGCTGCGTAACACCTTGGGTTTCATGAGCTTAAACCTGCGCAGGTACCTTTGAGGTCATAGAAGCAGAGATGTACTGTAATTACCAATATGGACACAAGGTCACTTAAGGACAACACCAGAACCATAGTATTATCCTTGTAGAGTCTGTAACAGGATTGTTTTACAAAACAAATGCAGCTGCCTCAAAATAAGTGACCAAACTAGAAATCAAAGATGCCATGACTTGGCAGCCTTGATGGTAATTAGAACTTTCAGTCCAGTGTGTGCTCTTGTCAGTGTGCAGACCTTTCCTGGATCTGCAGAGCAGGGGCGCCGTAAGGGGGAGGAAAGCTAGGACGATTCCAAGGGCCCCTGAGTGACAGGGGCCCTAAAAAATTAGGAAAATAACTGGATTGGTTTGGACTGGGGGGCCTAATATGATATGCTTTCATGGGGCCCAAAATCTCTAGCAACGCCCCTGCTGCAGAGACATTACACTACAAAAGATGAAGAGAACGGCTCACGTTTTCAGCGTTCCAGACGTCATCAGCTCAGTCACCAGCACAATGCACCCCTTGCCCTTGACTGCAGACTCCCAGAAGTCATAGAAGCGCACAATGTTGGGGTGCTGGAGGCCCTTCAGCATCTCAGCTTCCTCCTTGAAACGCTGCCGCTCTGCCCGGGACAGCTTGCGATCCTGGGACAGGGTGGACATGTCAGATTCTTCATATTTCGATTGCAATTTCATGGACTCATTCTCAATCTTTTGTATTTTTCAGAATTGTATTTCTGCTTTGGTCTCCCATAGATAAATTCGGATCTTTGGTAATTAAGGAATCAAGTGCAGTAATTCAGCAGCACTGAAACTAAAGATTTAGGTTTAGTAACTGAAACAGATTTCAGGAACCAAAGTACTTTGCCTTTATAGCTACACGATTAATCGTTTTTGAATCTCGAATTATATCATTATGTGATCTCATTCAACACAGATTACATTACATTATTTTTGATTGTGTAGAAAATGAAAGAACAGTGGGCCAGATATAATGAATTACAAACATTCACAGGCCAATACTTTGAAACGTTTCACAAGTGGTAGCTGTGCCAACGAAATCCCTTGTTTGCCACTACAGAAAATGCTTAATCGTACAATGCCATCTCCATTATTTCAGTTGTTGTGTCTTTAGCTATATATAAAAGATATTCAACTGCAATAGGAATGAAAGCTTGCTACTGGGACACTTCCCTCTCTGTGGTAAAAAGACTGAGGCAGGACCTCAAACTAGAAGTGTCACTTGCAAAAGAGCTGCAGCCCCTTAGTTTCACAAGGGTGGGACATAGCACTATTACTTCTTTGTCAGCAATATTTCTATAAGTGCGAGCGAGCAGGACATCAAGCATGAGAAAGCTACCATCAGAATTACTCAGCTGCAGTCAAGTTTCAATACATGGAACATCACACCTGCATTGTGTAAATCCACATGATAACACGACATTTTTCCTTTGATGTTACCGAACATTGCCTTATCTAAAATGACCCAATCTTACAATGTTAAAGCTGGGGTTTCCACAGACTTGTGTCCATGGGAATAACCACTCTTAGCAATCATTCTTAGCAATGATGTATTTACGGAGAATACTGAGATAAAACATGCCTACATACACAGCAACTGTGAACAGATCTCAGCCCACAAGAGGTCTAGAAAACAGAGATAATGATATAATCTGATGAAGCACAGTGGGTTACTTTGTTGCTGTGTATTCCTAGCAGGAAACAAACAGGGCAAGATCATCTCTCATAGCCAGCTGTGTTAAAGGTCTCCCACTTTCACAATATCCACAGTATGAGGTACTAGTACTGATGTCCTTAAGTCCTTGACGTCACTGCTTCAGACCTAGATCAGCCTCAGAGTTACAGAGCGAGGAGAATACAAATGAACCACAGTGATAAACCCTGCCTTTATGATACTGCCTTTATTTATTTATCTCAGTGAAACAGATATTTATTCATTCAATTACTGCTTCACCTCACTAGTTAAAGTTTAGTTTCCCTATCCAATAAAGATAATCCTCAATTAATGACTTTTTTTTCATTCTCAGCCCATATCATGGGGTATTCTCTGATAATCCATCTGCACATCCTGAACACACTGACCTGGATATTCTCAACTGCACAGTTACACAATCTATGGATGAAACTATAGGCTAAATCCTCGGTTTAGAGGAGAAAATAATTACTTTAATAAGCCAGAGAGAGAGAGAGACAACTGGCACTGAAGTAATGTGATACCCCTGAAGGAGAATTACATTGTTCAGTTGTTTCACAAAAATGTATCTATATATCTTATGCATCCATAGGAGAGCAGGACAGTGTAAGCACATTTGCACATTTTCTTCACCAGGGTAGCACAAAAAACATAATTCAGTGTTTTCTTACTGTCTCTAACATTTTTACTATTACAAGTACATGGCTCAGCTCTCAGAAAGAGCACATTTTCAAAATTCAACTTTTGCATACAGTAAATCTAAGTTTCCTTTCTCTAGGAACTGCATTTTATTTTGGTTATTAAAAACCAGTGAAGGGCTTGGAGTAACAAGTCATTGCATGTATATAAAACTCTGACCTTCATGAGATAAGCACCCCAAAATTGAACAGGTTTTTAAAAACATTTTGAGCCTCAAAAAAGGCATGTGTGGCATGGGTAAAACATTTTCCACTTATTTGGAAAGAAGGTACTCTTTACCTGCTCCCAAATGAAGAACAAATGTGTTGTTATTCACAGGAGTGTAGGAGTCACAAGGCTCTAAACTTGAAAGAGGAAAATCACTGAAACTACGCACTAATCTCAGTCTGTTTTAATTCACTTCTTTCACAGAAAAAACAGAAAGTGTACCTGAATTGTACGCCTACCTAAATTGTAAAGTGCGTAAAATGTTTTAGGAGATTTTCAGAGGATTTATCCTTTGTGTAGTAAAATGGTGACATGCCACTTGTCAAGTTTTCAACAAGCCTTAGCTGAGCCATGTAACTGTGTAATAAAAAAAATTAAAAAGAAAAGTTACAGCCCATAAGAAAAACACAAAGAATTATCATTTTTCTGCCTAAACCTATGAGGGTCAAATGAGACTAAAACCAACAACACAACTGTCACTCATAACTAGATCTGCTAACCAGGAATAAATCCCATTTTCCCTAAAAATCAGACTCAAACGCTGAACAAGGACAATGTTAAATGAACACTCAATTCCATTGTGTACATTTCACTTTAAAACTTCAGTTTCCTATATTTGGTTTGATAGTTGTCATGCACACTGAATAAACACTGAATACCTGCAGTTCACACCAGGCAACTTCAACCCAGGTGTCCGTGTCCAGACCCTTGTAGACGGTCTTGAAGGATCCTCTCCCAAGCTCAATGTCAAACTTGAGAAACCTGCCACTTGGTGAGGTGGAGACGGCTTTCATCTCCGCCTCCTCCTCGTTCTCATCGCTGACCGCTTTGCCAGTGCTGCTCTCATGGTCGGAGGCGGCAACGTGGACTTTGTGATCAGTGTCATTGCGTTCCTTGTCTTCGTCAGCGCTCACACTCTCCGTGGCACTGTGCTTGTGAGCGCCTTGGCTCTCGGTGCTCGACGTCTCCCGGCGCGTCCCACGTGTCCTGTCAATGTTCCCATTCACGGGCTTGTTGATATTGTCACATTCAGCGGCTTCAGACGTTTGGTCGTCAGAGTCGGACAGCCACAGGTTCTTCCTGACAAACCTTTGACGGAGGAGTCCTTGATAATTTGAAGAAAGGTACACGCTGGGGTCGCTTCCTCCTTTTGGTGTTGCTGCATTGCTGATGTAGTTGACGTTGCTATCACTGATGCTCCCGTTTAAGACATCATTAGTGTTCACGTCCAGGTGTGAACTGGAAACAGATGAAGATGTATATTCCAGCTTGGGATCTATACTGGTTACGCCCCCTGACTCCATATCTGGTGCCAGTTGAGAACGTTTTTATTGCTGATGTACTCTTGCCAGCACGATCTTCTTCCAGAGGCCGAATGGGTAGCTGCAGTGCTGGCGTGTGCTGACGCAGTCTGCCATCATCGCTACAAAACCATTAGCACACCGTAAACACAATGACGATGCGTCTATTTTTAATGTGATTTTCTAAATATTGCATAAAGCTGTAAAAAAAATACAGTAGCCTCATTAATTTTTTTAATTAATATTATTTGATCTTCATAATGCACCTAACCACGAAATAATATTATTAGCACATTGAAGGGTAGAAAGCCATAGTTCTAGCACAATGCCAGCGTGGCGAATTAACAAAAGCCCGAAACTGTCGTGATTCAGCAGTTTCATAAATCATTGTACTCGATTTTACAGTAACTGTCCGGATTAAAATAAATATTCATGCAGCGAAATGAACCTGCGCATATGCACAATCCTTTCTTTCTGTCCCGGAGCTGAACTGAACAATTTGCAACGCTCTTTTTTATATAAAACAACATTTTTAAGGTTCACAAACGTGAAGTACAATATGGATATTACAAAACAATACCCTTTTGCAAGTTACAGACTCCATCTGCACCGGGATCTTTCACATTGTCATAAAGACAGTAATGCACTGGTACAGCACATCTTTTTTTCTACATAGGACCCACGCCCCTAGCAACCACTCTCATCCAATAAAACTGCACGTTTTCTGACCATACCGCTTTCAGCACAGGGGTCTATCTGGGCGACACCATTCAGTTCGTTCACCGGTGTGTGTGGGTCACACAACCCAATACACAGCCAAAGAGTTGGTTTCGTAAAGTTTTTCTCGATTCTCAAATGACAATTAACATTTGCAAAACAACAAGTGTAATTCCCACACCATAATGTGACTTCTGCATGGCAGAACACTTCTTATTGCTTCACACAAACGTTTCAATACATATATACAAATGATTTTGTACAAGTCTCATCATCTGGCACTATTTCCAGTTGCTTTAGTCTTGTTGGTCAAAATAGATTATGTAGTTTCCCACTGTAATAATTTTACACCCAAAACTACATATGTATGTGATATTTGTGTTAGCAGTTAACCAAAATTATTTTCAAAATTATTCTAAAATATATTCAACAAATTGCAATGATAAAGCATCGTTGTGTTTCTGGTTCCCACAGTATATGAATTTGTTGTTCTTGTACTGCCACTTTGCTGTTTTTGTGTTACACAGTGCTGTGTGACCTTTTTGTTTGGAGGCACTGACTAATTCATTGATGGAACTGTTTGATTTTGAAACATCAGTTAATTGTTTTGGGTCATTTACACACTTTGGCAGCTAAACCATAGTGTTGTGCTACAGTATATGCATAAACCGTTTTGAGAAATGGTCTTATAGTCTTGAGAATGTTAAATATGTTTCATGAAATGTGCCAAAGCAATTGAGGAAAAACTCTAAATATGGAAATATTCAGCCCTACATTAATAAATTAAAAAAAAACAGGTTAATGCTGAGCATCTGATGAGCAGAATTTTTATATAGATAAGACAATATTCCAGACAACATCAGTAATAATAATAATAGTCACAGACGCGGGGCATGGTGCAGGTGGGAAATGAGGGTCCAAGGCAAAGAGGTATATTAAACAAAACACAAAATACATCAAAGGGTAAACCACAAAATATAATGACCTTGTGGGGTGAAAAGCAAATGAGAGGAACAGGAACTAATACAAAATATCAAAAAGTAATAACTAGGGAAAAGAGCAACAGAGAGAGGAGAGAGAGCAGAACTAGAAGCACCAAATAGAGCAACAACACAAAAGAAGTTCAACAATAGCTGACTGGAGAACAGAACAGGAGCAGGCACTTAAATACACACAAGGGTAACAAGATAGGCAGCTAGGAACAATACCCAAATTAACCAATCAATGAAAGCACAGGATAACGAACAACAGGTGAAAGTCACAACGACTAATAAGCAAAGAAACTAGGAAACATAGCAAGCATAAACAGTAGGAAAATACTAAAGGTTTACAATACTGGGACAATTTAGACTATAACAATATGCAATCATAATTAGACACAGCAGAAGGGGGAAAAACCTACAACAGGAAAATGATAAATGAAAAGGAAACGGAAAACCAAAAAACAATGAATACAGGTGTGGTCGATGTCTAGCGAGCCTCAAACCCATGAACAAAGGGTCCACATGCTTAACTCATCAAGCTATGCTGTAGTCCAGGAAGCAGGTGTAACACACAAGGGTTATCAGACAGGTAGTGAAAAGATGGGTTGGCCAGCAACACCTGCTGGTCAAACAGGGAAAAAAAATCCATCTTAAGTTTCTCAACAGTCATACTCATGCCTTACACCACATACACTCACAATCACCAACACTTGCATCCAACACTTCACCTCTCACACAGGTGCGTGGGGGAGGAGAGTGGGCGGGTCTTCCTACACCCCTGCTCCCTGTCCGCGATGGTGGGGGGGCACTCGGGTAGTTGTCCGGCTGGCGGCGCCCTGGGGTTGCGGCTGGTGCTGGGGGGTGGCGTCCGTTCCCCCGCATGGCGGAGGGCGGTCCGGAGTGGATGGGCTTATGTCTTTTTGTCTCTGTGTATGTTGTGTGAGTGGGAGTATGGTCTATGTGTATGGCTGAGAGGTGTGTCTGCGAGGTGTCTGTGTGGGCAGTGTGGGCCTGGGTCCGGGGCTAGCTGCTCCTTCCTGGGCGCGGCTGCCTCCTTGGCATGGTTGCTGGCCCTCCTCCCCGGGTGGTGGCCTGGGGGTGGCTCGGGCCTCTCCGGCGCGGGTGGGGCTCTCTACCGGGGGCCGGTCGTCTCCCGGCCGCCTGGGGTCCGTGGGCCCTGCCCCTGGCCCGTGCGGGAGCAGCCGTCACCCTCGCGGGGTCGGCTTCCTGTTGCCTCTGATTCTCTGGGGCTCGTGCCCTTTTGGCTGCGGGGGCTGCGCCTGGGTCCTCCCTCCTCCTCCTGCTGGGGTGGGGACCCTGATGTCGTGGGGACGTGGGGCCTTGGCTCTTCCGTGCTCATGGGGGGCTGCGGACGCCTTGGGACTCCGCCGGCCTGTCTCCGCCGGCCTCTGGTTCTTGTGGGGTGTGGTTGCGGCCCCCCACCTTCGCTATCAAGTGCATTCCATGGAGAAATTCACACGCACCCAACACACGCATACTGTACATGTTCAAACACCTCCCCCAAACAGATGAACACACATGCAAATACACCTCCAAGCTCCCTTCCAAGCACATGCAACAATTTTGTATGTCTGTAATCTATATGTCTTATTTTCTTTATTTCTGGTTGTGTCTTTGTATTTATGCTTTTTTGGTTGTATTTCAAATGCGTTTTTTTTTTCCTTTTCTTGCCTTATGTGCTTTTTACGTTACTCCTGTCTTTCTTAGCCTCTCTGTCCCACTGTTGTCTCTGCCTTTGTTCGTGTTTTTCTCTCTCTCTCTCTCTCTCTCTCTCTCTTTCCTTCCTTCTCTTTAATGTCTCTCCCTACCCCTTTTCTTCACTCATTTTCCTAATCTATCACTCCCTTCCCAGCAGCACGGCAACTGGAATATTTTACATGTATTAAATAAAATACAACAAATATACGAATAAAAAGAAATTTACCAACATGAAGGGCCTATACAGAGTTTATAGAGCCCCTCATGGTAAAGCAAATATGCCTGACACAGCAGTGCATTCAGACCATTATTCTGCTTGCGAAAGCTGCTGGACAGGACACATTTAAAAAAAATTAAAAAAAAAACAGGGAAGAGACATGAAGGCCAGGGGAGGACGGGCGCTTAACCCTGACATACATACATACATACATAAATAAATAATGTTTACATGTTCTCCGTGTATTTGATTGCACAACCCAAAAACTTGAAATGTAAGTGTGTACTCTGCAATGGACTGGTATCCCATTCAAGTATCCCTGTGCCCTAAATAAATAAAAAATAAGAAGAAAGTATATAGTATAGTGTAGTACAGTATAATAATGCCACCCAAGCGTCATACATCTGAAGCTGATTATAAAAGATGCTTTAACTATTGATACTATTTCAGAGTATCTTCCATTACTAAAATAAATTCTAATTTAAAGCAGAAATTATACGAACATGAAACAGGAGCTAAAGTAGCCTGATGTAAAAAGTAAAGCTGAGAATATTATTGCGGGTTAAAGTAAAAATAAATAAGATCACAATTTTATGTGAAATCCATGCACTGCCAAGCCAAAAAAAAGTCACATACTTTAATATTTGTTTGGACAGCCTTTAGCTTTGATTTTAGTGCACATTCGTCAATGTATTATTACCATGTGCTTATGCAATATCAATGAGCAGCGTCTAAAATTTAATTTTATCCTGTTGCTATTCTTCTTTAATCACTTTTGCATTTATATAGATTTGAAAATGACAATATCTAAAAAAAGCATTTAAAACATATTTATTATACATGAAGTTTAGATAAGTTTAGGACCTAAACTTAAACTGGTAGCCCTTCCTATGGCTCAGTACCCGTGAAGTAGCTCTCAATTTCAAAAATGTTGGTGACCCCTGCTGTAAAGTCTTCAGCACATCTCAAAGACTTCCAATGGAGTTAAGGTCAAGACTCTGTGGTGGCCAATTCATGTGTTCTTCGACAATGATAATTACCCAATGAATCTTGGCATTATGGTCCTGAAATATGCCCACGCCATTAAGAAAGAAAAAAATCTATTGATTCGATAACCTGATCAATCAATAGCTTCAGGTACTCGGTTGACTTCACTTGCCACCTTCCAATTTTGTATTTTTAGTAGCAACAGTAGCAGCAGTAGTAACATTTTAAAAATTATTTTTGTCTTGACGGTAAGTACCAGTTAAACACCGGACTTACAGTAGCCTATAACCCATTCTAAGGTTTAGAGTTTATATTGTAGCAATGGACTTATCTTTATTGCGAGTGATTAAACAACAACAAATTTAATCTGGAGATGATATTGTGGTGAAAATAGCGGCTTGACAGTACATCGGGACAGTTAAATTACCGCACAGATACAGTATGTGCGGAAACATACTTCTCCCTCGACTTAGGGGTGGAGGTCGGGGGTGGGGATTTCCGGACTTTGCTAACCTTGAAAGCGTTAAATTGTTGAAGTGGTTATTCATTTACTATTTCTTGCGCTATGTTAAAACTACACTGCTTATAGCAGGTACATTAGGTGTGAAATTATAGTGAATTTTCACTTTGTCTGATATACATCACCATGGAGGTTATGGAAATGAATGGAGAACTAGAGGTAAGAAATCGGAAAAAATATATTATTGTGGGCTATAGATTTTAATACAACCCCAACATATTGTACCGTATCGCTTCTGTGCAAAAGCTAACAGGGACATCTTTGTTTTTAAGCCAATATTATTTTTATTTTGAAATACTACCATCAAAATAGACGTCTGTTTACAACAATTAACAACAACTGTGGGCATTTGACTTTTAGGGCAGTACGTACGTGTGACAATATAGATTTAAGTCTTTAGTTTCCAGAAGCTCTATTCGAAAAGCATCAGTGATTATAGCCTTTCAAGGACATGTATGTGGCTAACGAACAAGAAGTTTCACTTATTTTCATTGCCTGATTCCATTATACTTCCACTTTTACATATTTGTCATATTTAGATGCTTTTTGTCCAAAGCGGCGTACAAATTAGGCAAACAGCACATTACAAACAAAGGTCCAGTCAATGTCTCAACTATACGTAAGTACAGAAATGAATGCCCAGGTCCAAGTGCATGTAAGCAGTACTAGGGTAAGAACTACACAGCATGTTCTAACAAAGCAAGAACCTTCAAACTATTCAATAACCAGAAGTGCATCAGAGCGCAACGAGGCATATTATAAATATTTATAATTATAAATAATATACGTATCTAAGAAGAAAATATATGTACGCGTGAAGAAAAAATATCTATGTAAGACAGAAACATGTATGCGTGAGAGAACGTATAATGGAAATGAAAGGTAGGTCATCGCGCTGTGATTGGCTAAGAAGCACTTGCTGGTCATTTATCGCACTCTGATTGGCTGAGAAGCATTTCCGTGAAGTTGGCACGCAAGTTTAAAGATTTTAATTAAACAGTGGCCTGTACTACGAAGCGGGGTTACTGGCTTATCGGGGTAACTTGTCGGATTTAAGGTACCACAGTTTAAATGGACTTCATATTCGCTCACTTACATTTTGCCCAGACTACCTTAAATCCAACAAGTTACCCCGATAAGCCAGTAACCCCGCTTCGTAGTACAGGCCACCGGTCTCAGTTGTGTATGCCGTGTTTCTGCCGCTGGATTTTTTGTTTGTCCTTCAAACAGGTCTCAATTGTTTGTGCAATTGTGCCGTTTAAAAATGTTCGTGTTGTTATTTCTGAGATATCCCTCTTGGTTTATTCTATTACATGATCGTTGTATTATGCTCATGCTCTTGTTTCTCATATAAACAGAATGTTTGCAATATGTTTGATGCATAGTGATAGTCGTGGGGGTCCGGAGCCTTTCCCGGAAGCCACGGGTGCAAGGCAGGAAACAACCCAAGAAGGGGCACCAACCCATCGCAGGGCACACTCACACACCATTCAAACCAAACCATATTCACCGCAGCATGTTTTCTGACCATAGGGGTAAACTGGAGGAAATCCCTCAACATCATACAGAGAACATGCAAGCCCTGATCCTAGAGATATGAGGCAGCAGTGCTAACTACTGTACCACCGTGGCACCCCTCAAGACCCTTTCAAATTTTCATAAAGAAATGCACACTTTCAGAGAAAAGTACCAATTTGTACTTTTGAGGGTACAATACTTGTCACTGGGGCTGTACCCTCAAGGGTTGTAGCCTAACTTTAGGTAAATGTACCTTTTAGTCTAATTTAAGGTACTAAAATGGACTTTTTGTGCCATTAGAGGTACATTAATGTTGTTTGTTCCTTGGAGAACAAAACTGTACCAGGGCTGTACCCTTTGTTCTGACAGTGCACATGCATGCAGTAAATCAATGAAAAGACTCCTCCTCCCCAAGTGGTATAACCCTGCAATTATTAATCTCAGAGAAAAGGTGGCAGCCCCTTCCAACATGGTACGAACCTGCGTTGCGGGAAACTAAACTGTCTTAAACTGTCTTAAAAAAGTACATTGTCGCGAGACTGAAGTTTGCACTTTCAGGATATCACTCTTTTGGCCATGCACTCAGGCTTTGATTGTGGAAGCCATGCTGAATTTTGTATTTTGGTTTTGCTAGTAGTGGCTGGAAGGGGAATTCACACGATTCACCTGTTACTGCCCTGTGTGTGTAAGACTCTCTTATTTTTCTTATTTTCAAACAGAGACACAGGGGGATTCATGGCCGATTTGGGTGGCTGTTGAGTGTTTCCTAGATTACACAAGGAGCCTGCATTTTTGTCTTTGTACTGGCCAGCAATTTTGAAATCCAAGACATAATGGGTATTTTGGTGAAACCTGAGCAATGCAATTCTGGAAGAAATCCTGAGTTGCTTAACTGTTACAGTATACTAATTGAAAATGAATCTTCTGCACCACCCTGGATGTTTCAGGCTTGAAAACAGGACATGACACTCACACAGGGTATGGGAGAGTTGCTGAGTAAAGAAAAATGAGCCCATTTGAGGAAGCAAGGGGTTCATACAGTATCTGAGAATTTCAATGAAAGTGTAGATTACACTCTAGTTACCCATGGCCCCATGGGAAATTCACCACACAGACCGTGAAGACTGACTGGAATGAAGGCTCTGCTTAAGATTAAACTATTTGTCTTATATTTATGTAGTAGGTGCTTCTATCCAAAGTGATGTACAATTGGGGGATGAGGGTCAGCAAGTCCCTGAAACAGTCAGGGTTAGTAAGGGCCTTGTTCAAGGGCCCAACGATGAAAATACCACTGGAATCTGTAGAACCACACAACACCCCACACAGTTAATAGATCAAAGCCACTTATAACGTTTGTCCATAAACCATGCTGTATCATAAAGGTTTTGTGACTCAGACAGAAAAACTGAAAAGCTCAGGACATTCATCAAAATCCCATCATCTTTTGTAGGTAACGTGATCAACAAGATTGTAGATTTTGAGTGTAACTTGCTATCCTACTCCTTACATAAATGATAAGGTTGTACTGGGTCCACCATTGTCTGCTGACTGAAATGAATTTGACACCCCTGTGCTATGGCATTAGATACCCTAGCTGTTTGCTTCTTAAACTTTCAAATTATTATGTCTCTGATTCCCACTGTCCACCAGGTGTCCACACGTCCTGCTATACATTCATTGCCTATTGGGGTTTTTCTAATTTAAATTTAAATTGTTTGTGTGTCTATATTCAAGTGATATTTACACAAGCCAAGAAATAAGTATTTCAGTGTATGGCATAATCAGTTCATCATGTACATGACAAATAAAGGACTTTGACTTTTAGACTCTTCGTGACGAGGCTCACAGACGTCCACAGCAGCAGGCCGGCCCCCTCAACATGAACCACTACGCTAACAAGAAGAGCGCGGCAGAGAGCATGCTGGATGTAGCCTTGCTGATGGCCAATGCATCACAGCTGAAGACTGTCATGGAGGAGGGGTCTGATTTTACCTTTTACTATGCACTAATCGGGCTTATCAGCATCTCCCTCGCCCTTCAGATCCTGGTGGGCATCCTCCTCATCTTCATTGGTGAGCAGTATTTGTTTGCTAAAATGCTCTTGACAGTACAGTGTAGTACACGAACATATCACAGCCTCTATTACTCAACTCCACATTCACCTCAATATGGTCAACTAACGGTTAACCACTGCTTGTCACCACCATGCCACTGTGGTAAAAGATGGGATACCAGGGTTCCTCTACAGCCGAGCCACATTGAAGAAAGTTGTGAAAACCTATTAATGTATTTAAGCAATTCAGGGACTTGTTCTGTCAAATCAATGTCATTTTGTAAATCTGACTCATGGTGTCCTCCCAGCCTGCCAAATTACAGCTTGTTTTAAATGCAGATGCTACAGGCATTTTTGAGTGCAGCTGATGATTAAACTTTTTTTTCAATCTGTGTTACCACAAACACTGCCCGCATATGGATAATGTCAACACTGTGACAGCCTGCAGATCTGTTGAGTCATTATCCATTGCTGGAAGAATCTCAGCAGCCTGAATATGATACATGCATTGGATAAAGCTTCAAAATGTCACACAGAATGTGGGTATAAACATATACCACATCCATTATTTTTCCTACATCACCCACACATGTAATATCCTATAAATCAGCACTTTACTCAGAATCTGAATGGCTCACAGGGACTCGACCCATTTTGTCACATAGGATTAGATGGCAGTCTAGGGCTGCACTGGCCACCTGGCATATTAGGCAAAATTCATCATAAGAGATTGACCTCCCTCCTTGGCAAATTCTTTTGTAGAGACCCCCCCACCCGGCAAAATTTACCATGGGGCCGATTTTAAATCCCTGTCCAGCCCTGTGGCAGGGTTCTCAAAACCTAAACTGATTTCTACACCCTCTGCAGTGAAGTGGGACCTTAATGACGAGCATAAGCACCACAAACTGAATGTTCTGGAGAACCTCACCACAGCGCTGATCTTCCTCATTGTGGTGGTGAACATCTTCATCACCGCATTCGGTGTCCAGAAGCCCACAGGACGGTCAGACGTGGGTTGAGCTGTCTGACCATTTAGCAGATGTGTGCTTCCATGACTCCCTAATTCAGCAAGGTGGGTTTCCCTTATCGTTGTGGCCCATGAATTTTCTGCAGTGAGACATAGTTAGTGAGGAAAATCTCATGGTTTTATACAGAAGAACTAAATCAAACCAAATAAGGAAACCCTTGATCCCTCATCATTACCATGCAAATATACTTTCTTCTTTTACAATTTAATGCATGGTTAGTTGTATGACTTAGGTCTATATATGAGATTCTCAGCAATAGCACTGATCTCTCTCTCTCTCTCTCTCTCTCTCTCTCTCTTCAGGTCCTTCTTGTTCTGCCCTTTTCCAAGAACTAATGGAGAACAGAATCTGATTTCAGCAGAGGATGGAATGACTCATCATAAACAACAATGTCACACATTTTATAGACTGCCACACTGATTGTTTTTCTTGCTTTTTCTACTCTTGGAAAAAAATTGTCAGTGGTATTTTTCATTGTTTGCAAGATCAGATTTGCATATCAAGACATCACAGTTACTTTGATAGTTTCAAATATTTTATATAATGTCTGTGAAGCAATGTCTACTCAGGTTCTTCTACAGTAGGAATCATAAACATTAGATACCTAGTAGGCCCAGAATCACAGTAACCCTGCATAGGACAAGTGTATAGAAAATGGATGGATGGATGGATGGATGGATGGATGGGGACACCATGAAATACTTGAAAACCATTTGTTATTACCTCTTGTTGAAGCTTTGTATGAGAATAATTCCTTTTAATGGAAACTAACTAATGTATGTTCAGTCGCTAAATCACTATGTATATCACTTTGCATCAATACATCGATATAATTTGCATTTTGAAATGCATTACATGAGAATTACATGCTATTTACATGATTTATTTGTAAAATTGAGTCAAACTATTTAGGCCTACATGTTTACAATATTTAAAAGGTTTTGTGTTATCTTTACCATCCTATTCAAATGGCATATAATGTACTCTATCTTATAAAGTTTATACAAGATTTGTGTCATGCCATTTAGACTCCATATTTAGATATAAACCCAGAATGAATATAACAGGTCTACATATTAGTATTAGCATAAAAAGCAAACTATGTATGTATATGAAAGTCACAGACACTGATAACTGCATTTGGTGGCATGGTAGCTCAGTGGGCAGTGATCCAGGGTTCAAATCCTCCCTTTGCCCCTGTATGTAGAGTGTACATTTACATTTGTTTCTTCTGGTTACTCCTGGGTTTCCTCTCATGATGCAATGACACATAGTGTATGGTTGTGCATACATTGTACATGCCATATGATGGACTGGCATCCTATCCAGAGTGTACCCCTGTGTTTTGCTGTGATGTCTGGAAAAGGCCCCAGAAGGCCATGTGACCTTTCTCAGGGTAAGTGATTGGTCGAAGGAGGGACAATAAATATTTGAACTTGCAGCAATGATAATTACTAGGTACTTAGAAAGGAAAAATGAACATTGGTTGAAGCTTTACTTGCATGTTCTTGCAGAGTGGACATGAAAGAACTACCCACTTCCTCGTTGAAAGTATTATGTAAAGATATGATGAAATCTGTTATTGGTCTGTTAACTGCTTGGCCAACTCAGGCATTTACTGACCAAAGGGCTCCCTGTGAGCTGGCCCAGAACTACACAGCGAGAAGGGAGCTTAATATCAAAGTTTAAGTCCATTAAAATATATAATCTGTCTACACCTACATTTATTCATTTGTAATGGAGACTAAGAACTTTTCAGTGTATATTTTCTATATGACTGTATTATTCTTAAAGTGCTGAACCAAGATGCATGGCTGAATCCTTGAAGGCCACATATATATTTAAACTGTTTGTTCTGAATTTAAAGCAAATGTTTTTGACAGTTAGTTTTTCAGATATAATGAGCTGTTTTGATTGTGGTAGTGTGAGGAGTGGCACATGATAAAATGAATCTTGGCGAATTAAAGGATTAAGAACACAAGGTTAAACCTTTAACAAAACGTTTTTACAATAATGGCGTAGAAGCGCTTGTCAGAGAGATCTCTGATACGAAAACGAATCAAAAATAAATAGCAGACCCATTTGCCTCACTTGTATGCTGGTTTGGACAACAGCATCTTCCAAATAAATAAATTATAATTATGCTCAAAAAGGTACATGCTAATGAAAACAGTTCTTCCAGAATCAGGTCTGAGGACTGGTATAGCAGCACATGGGTGTATTTTTAGGTGCCTAATCCTCACCCTTGAAGCCTGCACCGTATATTACTGAAGTAATTAATTCCTTGAGTTATTGGAATGCAATTCACATAGTGTCCCTGTCAGGCACTCTCTCAGGCATTCTCTAAAATGAGTAATTCTCTAAAACATAAGAACACAATAAATTTACAAACGAGAGGAGGCCATTCGGCTCATCAAGCTCGTTTGGGGAGAACTTAACTAATAGCTCAGAGTTGTTAAAATCTTATCTAGCTCTGATTTAAAGGAACCCAGGGTTTTAGCTTGTGCTACAATAACAGGACAACTATTCCATACAACTACACGCTGTGTAAAGAAGTGTTTTCTTAAATTCATTTTAAAATGTTCTCCCACTAATTTCCACTTATGGCCACGAGTTCTAGTATTTAAACTAATTTTGAAGTAGCCATTTGGCTGAACAGCATCCAGANCTTCATATTCGCTCACTTACATTTTGCCCAGACTACCTTAAATCCAACAAGTTACCCCGATAAGCCAGTAACCCCGCTTCGTAGTACAGGCCACCGGTCTCAGTTGTGTATGCCGTGTTTCTGCCGCTGGATTTTTTGTTTGTCCTTCAAACAGGTCTCAATTGTTTGTGCAATTGTGCCGTTTAAAAATGTTCGTGTTGTTATTTCTGAGATATCCCTCTTGGTTTATTCTATTACATGATCGTTGTATTATGCTCATGCTCTTGTTTCTCATATAAACAGAATGTTTGCAATATGTTTGATGCATAGTGATAGTCGTGGGGGTCCGGAGCCTTTCCCGGAAGCCACGGGTGCAAGGCAGGAAACAACCCAAGAAGGGGCACCAACCCATCGCAGGGCACACTCACACACCATTCAAACCAAACCATATTCACCGCAGCATGTTTTCTGACCATAGGGGTAAACTGGAGGAAATCCCTCAACATCATACAGAGAACATGCAAGCCCTGATCCTAGAGATATGAGGCAGCAGTGCTAACTACTGTACCACCGTGGCACCCCTCAAGACCCTTTCAAATTTTCATAAAGAAATGCACACTTTCAGAGAAAAGTACCAATTTGTACTTTTGAGGGTACAATACTTGTCACTGGGGCTGTACCCTCAAGGGTTGTAGCCTAACTTTAGGTAAATGTACCTTTTAGTCTAATTTAAGGTACTAAAATGGACTTTTTGTGCCATTAGAGGTACATTAATGTTGTTTGTTCCTTGGAGAACAAAACTGTACCAGGGCTGTACCCTTTGTTCTGACAGTGCACATGCATGCAGTAAATCAATGAAAAGACTCCTCCTCCCCAAGTGGTATAACCCTGCAATTATTAATCTCAGAGAAAAGGTGGCAGCCCCTTCCAACATGGTACGAACCTGCGTTGCGGGAAACTAAACTGTCTTAAACTGTCTTAAAAAAGTACATTGTCGCGAGACTGAAGTTTGCACTTTCAGGATATCACTCTTTTGGCCATGCACTCAGGCTTTGATTGTGGAAGCCATGCTGAATTTTGTATTTTGGTTTTGCTAGTAGTGGCTGGAAGGGGAATTCACACGATTCACCTGTTACTGCCGTGTGTGTGTAAGACTCTCTTATTTTTCTTATTTTCAAACAGAGACACAGGGGGATTCATGGCCGATTTGGGTGGCTGTTGAGTGTTTCCTAGATTACACAAGGAGCCTGCATTTTTGTCTTTGTACTGGCCAGCAATTTTGAAATCCAAGACATAATGGGTATTTTGGTGAAACCTGAGCAATGCAATTCTGGAAGAAATCCTGAGTTGCTTAACTGTTACAGTATACTAATTGAAAATGAATCTTCTGCACCACCCTGGATGTTTCAGGCTTGAAAACAGGACATGACACTCACACAGGGTATGGGAGAGTTGCTGAGTAAAGAAAAATGAGCCCATTTGAGGAAGCAAGGGGTTCATACAGTATCTGAGAATTTCAATGAAAGTGTAGATTACACTCTAGTTACCCATGGCCCCATGGGAAATTCACCACACAGACCGTGAAGACTGACTGGAATGAAGGCTCTGCTTAAGATTAAACTATTTGTCTTATATTTATGTAGTAGGTGCTTCTATCCAAAGTGATGTACAATTGGGGGATGAGGGTCAGCAAGTCCCTGAAACAGTCAGGGTTAGTAAGGGCCTTGTTCAAGGGCCCAACGATGAAAATACCACTGGAATCTGTAGAACCACACAACACCCCACACAGTTAATAGATCAAAGCCACTTATAACGTTTGTCCATAAACCATGCTGTATCATAAAGGTTTTGTGACTCAGACAGAAAAACTGAAAAGCTCAGGACATTCATCAAAATCCCATCATCTTTTGTAGGTAACGTGATCAACAAGATTGTAGATTTTGAGTGTAACTTGCTATCCTACTCCTTACATAAATGATAAGGTTGTACTGGGTCCACCATTGTCTGCTGACTGAAATGAATTTGACACCCCTGTGCTATGGCATTAGATACCCTAGCTGTTTGCTTCTTAAACTTTCAAATTATTATGTCTCTGATTCCCACTGTCCACCAGGTGTCCACATGTCCTGCTATACATTCATTGCCTATTGGGGTTTTTCTAATTTAAATTTAAATTGTTTGTGTGTCTATATTCAAGTGATATTTACACAAGCCAAGAAATAAGTATTTCAGTGTATGGCATAATCAGTTCATCATGTACATGACAAATAAAGGACTTTGACTTTTAGACTCTTCGTGACGAGGCTCACAGACGTCCACAGCAGCAGGCCGGCCCCCTCAACATGAACCACTACGCTAACAAGAAGAGCGCGGCAGAGAGCATGCTGGATGTAGCCTTGCTGATGGCCAATGCATCACAGCTGAAGACTGTCATGGAGGAGGGGTCTGATTTTACCTTTTACTATGCGCTAATCGGGCTTATCAGCATCTCCCTCGCCCTTCAGATCCTGGTGGGCATCCTCCTCATCTTCATTGGTGAGCAGTATTTGTTTGCTAAAATGCTCTTGACAGTACAGTGTAGTACACGAACATATCACAGCCTCTATTACTCAACTCCACATTCACCTCAATATGGTCAACTAACGGTTAACCACTGCTTGTCACCACCATGCCACTGTGGTAAAAGATGGGATACCAGGGTTCCTCTACAGCCGAGCCACATTGAAGAAAGTTGTGAAAACCTATTAATGTATTTAAGCAATTCAGGGACTTGTTCTGTCAAATCAATGTCATTTTGTAAATCTGACTCATGGTGTCCTCCCAGCCTGCCAAATTACAGCTTGTTTTAAATGCAGATGCTAGAGGCATTTTTGAGTGCAGCTGATGATTAAACTTTTTTTTCAATCTGTGTTACCACAAACACTGCCCGCATATGGATAATGTCAAGACTGTGACAGCCTGCAGATCTGTTGAGTCATTATCCATTGCTGGAAGAATCTCAGCAGCCTGAATATGATACATGCATTGGATAAAGCTTCAAAATGTCACACAGAATGTGGGTATAAACATATACCACATCCATTATTTTTCCTACATCACCCACACATGTAATATCCTATAAATCAGCACTTTACTCAGAATCTGAATGGCTCACAGGGACTCGACCCATTTTGTCACATAGGATTAGATGGCAGTCTAGGGCTGCACTGGCCACCTGGCATATTAGGCAAAATTCATCATAAGAGATTGACCTCCCTCCTTGGCAAATTCTTTTGTAGAGACCCCCCACCCGGCAATATTTACCATGGGGCCGATTTTAAATCCCTGTCCAGCCCTGTGGCAGGGTTCTCAAAACCTAAACTGATTTCTACACCCTCTGCAGTGAAGTGGGACCTTAATGACGAGCATAAGCACCACAAACTGAATGTTCTGGAGAACCTCACCACAGCGCTGATCTTCCTCATTGTGGTGGTGAACATCTTCATCACCGCATTCGGTGTCCAGAAGCCCACAGGACGGTCAGACGTGGGTTGAGCTGTCTGACCATTTAGCAGATGTGTGCTTCCATGACTCCCTAATTCAGCAAGGTGGGTTTCCCTTATCGTTGTGGCCCATGAATTTTCTGCAGTGAGACATAGTTAGTGAGGAAAATCTCATGGTTTTATACAGAAGAACTAAATCAAACCAAATAAGGAAACCCTTGATCCCTCATCATTACCATGCAAATATACTTTCTTCTTTTACAATTTAATGCATGGTTAGTTGTATGACTTAGGTCTATATATGAGATTCTCAGCAATAGCACTGATCTCTCTCTCTCTCTCTCTCTCTCTCTCTCTCTTCAGGTCCTTCTTGTTCTGCCCTTTTCCAAGAACTAATGGAGAACAGAATCTGATTTCAGCAGAGGATGGAATGACTCATCATAAACAACAATGTCACACATTTTATAGACTGCCACACTGATTGTTTTTCTTGCTTTTTCTACTCTTGGAAAAAAATTGTCAGTGGTATTTTTCATTGTTTGCAAGATCAGATTTGCATATCAAGACATCACAGTTACTTTGATAGTTTCAAATATTTTATATAATGTCTGTGAAGCAATGTCTACTCAGGTTCTTCTACAGTAGGAATCATAAACATTAGATACCTAGTAGGCCCAGAATCACAGTAACCCTGCATAGGACAAGTGTATAGAAAATGGATGGATGGATGGATGGATGGATGGATGGGGACACCATGAAATACTTGAAAACCATTTGTTATTACCTCTTGTTGAAGCTTTGTATGAGAATAATTCCTTTTAATGGAAACTAACTAATGTATGTTCAGTCGCTAAATCACTATGTATATCACTTTGCATCAATACATCGATATAATTTGCATTTTGAAATGCATTACATGAGAATTACATGCTATTTACATGATTTATTTGTAAAATTGAGTCAAACTATTTAGGCCTACATGTTTACAATATTTAAAAGGTTTTGTGTTATCTTTACCATCCTATTCAAATGGCATATAATGTACTCTATCTTATAAAGTTTATACAAGATTTGTGTCATGCCATTTAGACTCCATATTTAGATATAAACCCAGAATGAATATAACAGGTCTACATATTAGTATTAGCATAAAAAGCAAACTATGTATGTATATGAAAGTCACAGACACTGATAACTGCATTTGGTGGCATGGTAGCTCAGTGGGCAGTGATCCAGGGTTCAAATCCTCCCTTTGCCCCTGTATGTAGAGTGTACATTTACATTTGTTTCTTCTGGTTACTCCTGGGTTTCCTCTCATGATGCAATGACACATAGTGTATGGTTGTGCATACATTGTACATGCCATATGATGGACTGGCATCCTATCCAGAGTGTACCCCTGTGTTTTGCTGTGATGTCTGGAAAAGGCCCCAGAAGGCCATGTGACCTTTCTCAGGGTAAGTGATTGGTCGAAGGAGGGACAATAAATATTTGAACTTGCAGCAATGATAATTACTAGGTACTTAGAAAGGAAAAATGAACATTGGTTGAAGCTTTACTTGCATGTTCTTGCAGAGTGGACATGAAAGAACTACCCACTTCCTCGTTGAAAGTATTATGTAAAGATATGATGAAATCTGTTATTGGTCTGTTAACTGCTTGGCCAACTCAGGCATTTACTGACCAAAGGGCTCCCTGTGAGCTGGCCCAGAACTACACAGCGAGAAGGGAGCTTAATATCAAAGTTTAAGTCCATTAAAATATATAATCTGTCTACACCTACATTTATTCATTTGTAATGGAGACTAAGAACTTTTCAGTGTATATTTTCTATATGACTGTATTATTCTTAAAGTGCTGAACCAAGATGCATGGCTGAATCCTTGAAGGCCACATATATATTTAAACTGTTTGTTCTGAATTTAAAGCAAATGTTTTTGACAGTTAGTTTTTCAGATATAATGAGCTGTTATGATTGTGGTAGTGTGAGGAGTGGCACATGATAAAATGAATCTTGGCGAATTAAAGGATTAAGAACACAAGGTTAAACCTTTAACAAAACGTTTTTACAATAATGGCGTAGAAGCGCTTGTCAGAGAGATCTCTGATACGAAAACGAATCAAAAATAAATAGCAGACCCATTTGCCTCACTTGTATGCTGGTTTGGACAACAGCATCTTCCAAATAAATAAATTATAATTATGCTCAAAAAGGTACATGCTAATGAAAACAGTTCTTCCAGAATCAGGTCTGAGGACTGGTATAGCAGCACATGGGTGTATTTTTAGGTGCCTAATCCTCACCCTTGAAGCCTGCACCGTATATTACTGAAGTAATTAATTCCTTGAGTTATTGGAATGCAATTCACATAGTGTCCCTGTCAGGCACTCTCTCAGGCATTCTCTAAAATGAGTAATTCTCTAAAACATAAGAACACAATAAATTTACAAACGAGAGGAGGCCATTCGGCTCATCAAGCTCGTTTGGGGAGAACTTAACTAATAGCTCAGAGTTGTTAAAATCTTATCTAGCTCTGATTTAAAGGAACCCAGGGTTTTAGCTTGTGCTACAATAACGGGACAACTATTCCATACAACTACACGCTGTGTAAAGAAGTGTTTTCTTAAATTCATTTTAAAATGTTCTCCCACTAATTTCCACTTATGGCCACGAGTTCTAGTATTTAAACTAATTTTGAAGTAGCCATTTGGCTGAACAGCATCCAGACCTGTTAGAATCTTATATACCTGGATCATGTCCCCCCTTAGTCTCCTTTGCTCAAGGCTAAACAGATTCAGCTCAGTTAACCTCTCCTCATAAGACATTCCTCTAAGACCAGGAAACAGCAATGTCCTTCTTAAGGTATGGTGACCAAACCTGCACACAATATTCTAGGTGGGGTCTTACCAAGGAATTATATAATCTTAGCATCACCTCCCTTGACTTAAACTCCACACACCTAGAGATGTAACCCAACATCCTATTGGCCTTTTTTATTGCTTCCCCACACTGGCGAGAGTGGGACATGGAAGCATCAACATACACACCGAGATCTTTCTCATAACCACCTACCTTTATTACAGTGGAACATGACTTCAGCTGTTAAAAACACAGGTAATAAATCCCAGATGTATAATAACCAATATTCCAGAAAGATAAAAAATGGCCGATTAAAAATGTATATATACATATTTATATAATACATCCATGTCCCCTGTCATTAAAAGCAGAAATCAGCACCGTTCATTCTTAAAGGCTGTTACAATGAATTCTGACTTTATACACGAGCAAACAAAAACAAGCTTAATACAGTATAATTTAAAGCTCTTTGGCATATGAATAAATGTAACAATAAACTGAAACATAACTGAATATTTAAATACATTTATAAGAAATATTTCCCACCACTGCCTCACTTGTGAGGGCAGGCATCCATCCATCCATCCATCCAGCCAGCGTCTTCCCCAGCCTTGTACTGCCTGGGATAGGCTCCAGGCCTCCCTGACTCGAAGAAGCAGCCAGAAGATGGACGGATGGACCCCTTGCTTAACCTAACGATTTTTGCCCAATTTTTCTGCATATAACAGCAACAGCGAGGTAGTTGGTCTGCTCAAGCCCAGAGCTGTATATGCCAACACCGCCCTGGCACCATCCCACAGGGCACCATCTGAAAAGACAGAGAGATGCCTGTCCTTCAGGGTAAAAAGTGTCAGCTGATTAATTACATGAGCAATAAGTGTAATTCACCTAAAAAGCCCATTTCAGACACATACTGGTGATTGATGAATCCTGCACTGATAAAACTTACCACTGTAGTAATACAGTAGAGCGCCCCCTACTGCAAGGCCAAAGCAGCTGAAGAAAAACAAAGGACCTGTGGGGTGACAGAAGGGGGTTAGTCACCATAGATTTGTATGACTGTGTAGGCAAGTCTGAGTATGGGTAGGAATGTATGGGATAAAATTCCTTTAGGAAATCCCAATTTATCAGCCGTCGGAAGGTTTCACTTACCCCTGTTGTTAAGTACAAATCGCTCCTGGGGGGATTTATTAGCTTGCTCTGTGTTTCCTACAGTGGGAACAGAATGAGTCATATCATCATTAAATTTTAGGAGTATTTTCTCAAAAAACAATTAAAAACAACTTAGAATAGCTCAAGCTTTGAGTGTTGTTCTGACCAGGGTGAGCGGTCCGTGTGGGCAGGCTGAAATACATGTCCTCCGCGTGCAGATGGAGCAGCCGGTACAGCTGGTGACAGGCCTCCTCCCCCTTCCCTTGCAGGTGTGTCAGGAGCTCAGCCATTCGCAAACAGGTGGGCACATCCAGGTTCTGTAACTGGAGTAAGCAGAGTGACAGAGGACTGGCCTGGGGAGGTGGGGCTTACACACCTCCGCAGACAACTAACATGACTGGAGCACACACACACAGGCATACAAATGGAGGCTCTTACAACAATCTGTCCAGCTTGCTTGCCAAATATGAGAAATGAAATAATTTATACTTAGTTAGTATGAGGTCCACAGGCAGTGGGAAAAATATAAGGTTTAAGTGTATTTCGGAAGGATAGGAGTGGACTTACTTTATGCGCTTCTGCGTATGTGAGTATCTGAGGGGAGCTCTGGTTGAGCTCCTGGATGAGTTTATCCAAGAGCCTGGAGTCCATTCTGCGATCTACTCTGAGAAACCAGGAGTCCCTCAGCAGCTGCTTCTGGAAGGTTTCTGCAGGTCAGACAGCGGTGCTATTATCAAAACTACAATTACCACAAAGCCCTTACAAAACTCTTTCCGCGACCAAAGCAAACTATAAAAAGCATAGTGGATCTGGGTGTGGGCATTTCAACCGGTTTGACAGCGTTTCTGATTAAGGAAAAGCACTGAAACGTTTGCGTTAAATAAAATATAATCTACTGTCACTACGAGACAACTACATTGCATTAGATAGTAACTATGACATGGCCGTGACTATATAACACGCAAACATCAGAGTAAACAACTCACTGTACGTACCTCGCCGCAAAGCACGGACGTCGTACTAAAGCACTATAACTTGTAATCGATTTGTGAACATTTGCTTGCATACTTTAGGCATTTTATCAACGAGAATATTTCACGGGTGTTCTGAAAGATAGCTATGCGATTATGATGCAGTTTGGAACAACATTCTGCACCAGTGCTTTGAAGTGGGCCGGGGCTCACCGGGACACAGTTACAGTACCGCAGCTCTTTGTTTTTACAGAGTACCGGCACCTCTCAGTATCTACCAGTCGTTATCTTGAAATTCACTTGCTGCGAAACGGGATTTACGTACCTCCTCTCATCCTGAAATATCCAGATTCAGTTTATTGACAACGATCCGACGCTAAAACTTCTCGCTCTTCCATCACTTCCTTACTTACCGCGGCAAATTTGGAACAATACTGCCACCAAGCGGCTGATTGCGGTCATAATCAAACAAGTTAACAAAGCAGGAACACAACTGTCCTAATGGATATTATGAGTACTATGTGTGAAATATGAATGATATGAGTCTTTTATTTGTATTCGATCTGCCCGTTTAACTACCCAGTGATTTCATCTGTAATATTGTCACCCTCCCCCTGCTCTCCCACCCTCACATACACACTGATTTGTTTAAAGCTTCAGTAAATTAATATATTCAATAGACACCAATTCGAAATTAACATGTATTTAATTACACTTTAAAATAGTAGGATTCAATAGCATTAGCCATGCATATGTGATTAAGGATTTGAATAAGGTGCTCTACAAATTTATTTGAAAGAATAAGCCTCACTGTTTAAAAAAGGAAGTTATTGGCAATACTACAGAAAATAGGGAACTTATGGTCTTCGATTTTGAAACACTTAAATACACATTTAAAATCTTCCTGAAAAATAAAGAGAGTTCATGGAACTTCTTTTCTAGTCACTTATTTTGCATGATTTGAATGGATGTTATGGCGGGGCATGATGCAGGGAAAGACAATCCATGTTGTGATTCACAAACAAAGGTATCTATTTAAGTAAAACAAAACAAGAAATAATGGGGTGGCATGGTGGCGCAGTGGTCTCTGGGATCAGGGTTCGAGTTTCTGCCATGGCTCCGTGTGTGTTGAGTTTGCATGTTCTCCCTGTGTCATCATTGGGCTTTCTCCAAGCACTCTGGTTTCCCCCCACAGTCCAAAAAAACATGCTGAGGCTAATTGGAGTTACTAAATTGCCTGTAAGCGTGGATGTGTGAGTGAATGGTGTGTCAGTGTGCCCTGCGATGGACTGGCAGGCACTTAAATACATACATAAGGTAACCAAAACTTTTTCCAGAACAGAGACTTTTGTCGTGTTCACACAGCAGAAACTTGGCCCAACTGTAGTTCCTCAGAAGCAATTACAGAATCTTGTTTTAGACTAGGGGTGAATCGCAATATGCAGCACTTGTGTTCTCGTGTACCCATTTTATGTCATCTTCCATCGCCGAAGAATCAGTTCCAATACTAAGCACCCATGTACAGAGGACAGTAAAAATCCCTAGATGTTGTTCTTGCTCTGCCCCAAAGATATCGATTGCATCCTCGCCGAACAAGACCAATCCCATGACTCATTGCACCCCAAGTTTGTTCTTGGAAGGCAAGTTAGCAAGACCGATCTTGCCAAGACCACAAGTACGATGTTCATGTTCTTGTTATTGAGATTCACCCTAGGTACTTTTCATTCAGACACAAACTACCTTACAGTGACAGCTTTGCTGATTGGATGACCACAAGCCCGGGTGCTAACTTGGAAGTTACACAAAAGTGCAGAAAGAGATGTAGTGGAGCAAAAATTGAGCAGGTGGGGTTATTATCCCATTTACATTTAATGCACCAATTAACATTTTTTTTGCTTGCATCTCCATATTTCTGCATTGGGAAATTCAACCACTAACTAATATACTTTTGTCTAATATCACCAGTACCAGCAATTAAACAAAGAGCACGCAAGCTAAGACAGCGAGCGAGCGACCGAGCGACCGACCGACCGACCGACGGACGGACGCACGGAGCAACATCAATGACTAGACTGGGGAGCACAAGCCTGGGAGATACTTTTATGCTAACGAGGGAGCAGGTGAAAGGCAGCTGGAGTGAGTCACACGAGGGCTGAAACGAGAAGTAAGACAAATTAGTAATAGGTGGGGAAAGAACGAGAGGGCAGGAATGCAGAATGTGACAATAATGTTCCATTTTTTTTATTCCATGAAAAATGATAGATTGATCTGCTGGTGAATGTTTAATAATAAATTATGAACATGTTGTGGGCTGTATAAGTAAAATATACATAAAGGCTGTGTCCCATTTTGATCACGACCCAAATAACTAACAAATAACTAACAAAATGTCTTATTTATTCCCCATTGCTTTGGCATGGTGGTGTAGTTTCATATTAAATAATGTGAGAAGTTTAACCTATGAGCATTTTGCATCTCCCATACTTATTTGGCATAAAGGTCCCAGTTCCTGTTGTGTGGTGTGAAAGCCCCAAACATGAGGTTCAACAAGAGATGGATGTGAGTGGTAACAAGCAGAAGGAACACAAACACAGGTGTAGGCAATCAACAAATAAAGGGTTAAACACCAAGCGCGACTGGAATACAAGGCTAACTGAACATTACTATAATCAGAGAACATCAAGGAACCATAAAAAAATCAATGAAATACAAAGAAACATAAATTGTCAAAATTACAAACAGTTGAGGCTGACCTCAAGCCAGCTTCGAACCCATGTGAAAAGGGAATTCTGGATGATACACTCAGTCTGTTTAACCATGCAGCAGGCTGGGAAATAGGTGAACACATTAGGAACTTAACTAAGGAATACTAGCAGAACACAGAGCAGGCTGGCCAATGGCCAAACAGGGAAATGACAGACAAGGCTGGGATAGATCCTGACAATGAGATTCTTCCGGTCATGCAATTAATTCAAAAGGCCAGTTGTTACCATATAGTGAAATTCATGAAAAATGTCAAATACACATTAAGCCAAAGGAATACACTGTGGTGTTTGATGTAATTCCCAGAGGCATATTGTCCTTTTTGACCAATTCCACTTTGTCTGATTTATATTTGTATTGCATTTTTGAATCTTTATTGGGAACAAGGATAGCAAAAGTTAATGATAAAGTTATTAGAAATATTCTTTGCTATGTCACACTCCCTGCAGCAAGGTTTTTTGGTCAGCCTTATTTGGTGATGTTCAATGGAAAAAAAGCATGGGATATCCAAAATAAATACTACATCAATAACATATAAAGTGTTACACAGAATTTTCTCAGTGAAACAAATTTTAAAAAGATGTAACTTAGATGCTATATTTAAAACACCTGTGCTTTTTGTGGGATTGAAGGACAAGATGTTGAAGACTTCAAACAATATATAAATGCTATACAAATGTCCAAAAACAAGAAAGCACAAAAGACATATAAAATCATGAGTTTCATCCATCTATCCATCCATTTTTTATGACCGCTTGTCCTGTTCTTTTCTGTGACACTTCTTTCTGAGTACTCAGAAAGTGAGGCTATTCTTCCAACATGACGTGATGTCGTGCAATATAATGCGCTTGCTGCAAATCGGGTAGCGTCGTAAAACACAATGATGTGCGCACGCGCACAACGGTGCACACTTGCGCGCTGCAAATCAGGCAGCAGCCGCGCGCGGGTTTAATTGTGGAAAAGCTCTGCAGTCTTTTCATGTTGCATGATGTCGGTGGTCCCTGAACCCGATTTACCCACAAATCTTGCGTGCCTTAAAGTAAGTCTGACAGAAGTGTTCCGCTAGCTTTTATGTGTGAAGTGTTTAAATTGTCATCTGATTTTGCGTTGCTATGCTAGTAGCTGGATTATGTTTGAGGTTCAGGACGATGTGGGTTGATAATGATTTATAACAAAATTGTAATTCATCTACGAGAAGGTACCCTGTAGCGTTTTTGCATATTGACAGTTTGCGCAGTTACCTTTTTGTACCATTTTATACCAATTTTATTTTTTGTGCTCTGTTGTGTTCCACTCAGCTGTTGTTTTAGTCCGGTTGTGTCGTTCCAGCCCGTCGATGCCCTACTCCGCTGTCCTGTCTGTTTTGACTACATGAATGTTACTATAATGAATAATAATAAAATGATTAATTTTATTGTGATTTTCTTTTTTGTTGCTGCGTTGCTGTTCTGACCCGCATTGCCGGTTCAGCCCGTCGATGCCCTACTCCGCTGTCCTGTCTGTTTTGACTATACGAATATTGCAATGATGACCAAGTGCTCTCATAACTGTAAGTCATGGTACTGATTGCTCTGTTCACCTTTTTTCTTGTCATTGTGAAACCAAATTACTAACTAGGTAGTTACTGTATAAATATTTCAGATGGAAATTGTACTCTACGGTCTACCTATATTTGAGTTTTTTTTAAGTTTGAAGTAAACCGGTTGTAAAGTACAGTTTGCATTAAGTCACTAATTGTTTCTAAAATGTGTTATGCCTTGGTTTCAGTTTGTTCTCTGTGCATAAGGAAGTTCCTCTCATACAAGCCGCAGTGTCCTGTGTGTAATTCTGTAAGTATACTTGTGTTCAGCATCCATATATTGATAATACATTATGATGTTTCTAATGAGCACTGTGTCATTCTCTTGAACAAACACTACTGAGTTTATTTTGGTATTTTTTTTTAGTGGCTAGCTGTTTTTATTTATAGAGCTGCTATATTTGTGTATATATATGTTGCATATTTCCTTGCATAAATATGCCATGAGTAACTTAATGGATGAGAGCTATTGAAGTAGTTTAAAGGAAAGGTTTACATATTAAGATTTAAGAATATGTTTATTCAACTAATGCAACAGATGTCTATTTTAAGCGTATGAGTGCATGTATAATTTCTGTCCCTCTTTTAATAAGAGATGCTAATTTTTATTAAGAGACTGCCTCCCACACCTGCTGTTCTGAGGCATACTGCCATCCAACCTTATTTTGAAAAGGAAAATCCATAAGCCCTCAGTAGGTTTGAGGTAGGGGGTGATGATGGCCTCTCTCTTTATCCCTATAGCATCCAAGGAGTCAATGGTGTCCTTAGCAGCATATAATCATGCATTGTCCTGCATGAACATCATTTTATTTTGGAAGCTGAAGGGCAGATTTATGCACAGCTGCCAGCCTCTGGACCAGGGGTGTCCAACTCCGGTCCTGGAGAGCTACTATCAAATGCCAGGAAGGAGAGAGAACCCACTGGATAGTGGCTCTCCAGCACGGAAGTTGGAGACCCCTGTTGTGGAGGATCCTGCATCGGGGTGTTCTTGGGAATTTCAGGGACTCCAGCACTTTCAAAGATCTCTTTGCCACTTAATAGTGGATTTTTAAATATTTTTTTTACAGCGTTCCTTTTTGATGAGATTAATTTTTCTGACTGAAAATTCCCATGATGCTTCTTAATCTCCTTAATCTTACTTTGCCTGGACTCCAAATTGCTTACACATTTTTGTACTTCTGTTGATCTCAAAGTTTGTCTGTTTCATACCTATTACAAGATGTTACACTTTTTCATGCTTTTCAGCAGCAGAAAGATCTTTCTTCCTTCCAGTACTTAATGAGAACTGTGACTTGCATAATAACGTGGGATATGACTCTATGCAACTGCTTTTGAGTAGGTTTACTAATAAATTTTGACAGTCTCTGGGATTGGTGCAGTTTATTTAAAGATGCAAGAAAATGAACCAGCAACCAAAAGATCGCAGTATGTTTGTATTTTGCTGAAAGGGTTACTAATATGCCTCTTGCATAACACTTTGCAAGGCAGCCCCTGTTCCTTTTTTGTGCAAAACTAAGTTTTCTTTAGGGATTAAAGTACATCCCTCCATCCAATATTTTTTATTTTGGGGGAAATGCTAATTGTGATCTGTTTGTCTTTTAGACTGCAACAGAGTCAGATCTGAGAAACAATCGGATTTTGGATGATCTGGTCAAAAGTTTCAAAGATGCAAGGTATAGCACAAACTGGACCTTCTCTCACTTTGTGTTTCTTTTACCTCTGTATGCTTAAATTCTGTTGCTTTAGGTCCTTCCTTCTAAAGAACATGGCATGAAAGTGCCAAGGAATGGGTCAGGTCTATGAATGTTTGTCTACTGATTTGGCTCATAACATCACATATAGCAGAGGTGTCAAGTAACCGTATTTACAACCAACAGATCTGCGGGCCGACCAGGGCTTATTTAATTGATAACAGTATGACCCAAACTTTGTAGTTATTTATTTGGTTAAAATCTTTAGAATATGTAAGTAATAATTACACATGTGAACTTTGAGGTAAACGTTATTCCTGAAAACTGTCTTTTTTAAATACAACTTATTAATGGTATACAAAAATCTCTCTGAAGATGTAACATTAAATCAGATGTGTCCATGGGCTTAAATGATTATCTGCTTTAATCTGACATTCACTGGATCCTTCTAAATGAAAAATAGGCTGAATTTAGTCCCAAAAAATCAAAACAACCAGGTTACAACTAGAATGATATGCTGAATTTTATGCTTAATTGCTGCTGTTGAACTTGGCAGTGAGAGCTTCAGTTAGATTTTGTTATTTAGAAATGTCAATGCTAGAGACATTGTCTTTGGTTTACAATGGTTCCTAATTGGGTTTAATTTAGCAGTTTTTTTTTTATTAATTTCAAAACAAATTCAGTTTTCCTCTTGTGTACTGTTTATAACAATGCATTATGTAATAACACTGCATTATGTAACAACTTGACAAAGTATAATACATTTATAGCTTACATTATA